AGCAAAAGGCTATAGACAAAAAGAAGGCCTTGACTTCTTCGATACCTACTCACCAGTTACAAGGATTACTTCTATTAGAGTCCTTATTGCAATTGCTGCGTTACATAATCTTGAAATTCATCAAATGGACGTAAAAACCGCGTTCTTGAATGGCGAGTTAGAAGAAGAAATTTACATGGAACAACCTGAAGGGTTTATAGCTCCTGGACAGGAGAAAAAGGTGTGTAGACTCGTTAAGTCTTTGTATGGGTTAAAACAAGCTCCAAAGCAATGGCACCAAAAGTTTGACAAAACAATGCTGTCAAATGGTTTTAAAATTAACGAGTGTGATAAATGTGTTTATATTAAAAACACACCTAATGCATATGTCATTGTGTGCCTATATGTGGATGATATGTTAATTATGGGAAGCAACCATACTATGATCATATCTACTAAGAAAATGTTGACAAAACACTTCGACATGAAGGATATGGGTGTAGCAGATGTAATTTTAGGAATTAAAATCTCTAAAACACCTAATGGACTTGTTCTTTCACAATCTCATTACATTGAGACTGTTCTTAAGAAATTTGATATCTATGATGAAAGTCCAGTTAAAACACCCGTAGACGTAAGTCTACATTTGGCCAAGAATAAAGGTGAACCCGTATATCAATTAAAATATTCTCAGATTATTGGTAGTCTGATGTATATTATGAACTGCACGCGTCCGGACATTGCGTATGCAGTTAATAAACTAAGTAGGTTCACTAGTAATCCAAGCAATGACCATTGGAAGGCGTTGAATAGGGTACTTCGATATTTAAGATATACCTTAAATTTTGGATTACATTACACCAGATATCCAGCAGTATTAGAAGGATATTGCGATGCAAATTGGATATCTGATACGAAAGACTCTAAGTCCACAAGTGGTTATGTTTTTATCATTGGTGGCGCAGCTGTGTCCTGGAAATCCTCTAAACAAACATGTATTGCTCGATCAACAATGGAATCAGAGTTTATAGCTTTGGATAAAGCTGGAGAAGAAGCAGAATGGCTTCGTAACTTCTTAGAGGATATTCCATGTTGGCCTAAACCAGTACCTTCTATTAGTATCCATTGCGACAATCAATCGGCTATCGGAAGGGCACAAAATAGTATTTATAATGGTAAGTCGAGACATATTCGTCGTAGACACAATACCATTAAGCAGTTGATCTCAAATGGTGTTATTTCTATTGATTACGTAAAATCAAAAGAGAATCTCGCGGATCCGCTTACTAAAGGCTTACCAAGAGATCAAGTATACTGCTTATCGAAGGGAATGGGATTAAAAGCCCACTACGCATGAAGTCTTTGTAATGGTAACCCAACCTTGTTGACTGGAGATCCCAAGACCTTGGTTCAATGGGACAACTAAGTTATGAAGATTCAGTTGAGCACTTAGGAGTAAAAATCCTATCCATTCCTACGATAAATAAAGTGCGTTCTGCAGAGTGTGTGAGGTTAAGTCTTAACTTTTAATGATTCCTATAGCTTGAATATATCGAGTGGAGTAAGGCAGAATACTCTTAATAGGAGATCACCTATATAAGTGAGAAGTGGGGCCGCTTCTATGAGAATTATGGGGCTTGAATTCTCTAAAGCACTTATGAAACCCAAGAGTTGTTCAAGGCCAAAATGAACACAACCATGAGAACCTAAGAAATTGTTAGGAAGGTTATTGTGTGGGTACTGTTGTCTTGGTTTACACCAACGGCTGGACGGTTCAAGACATCACGTTCACCGACTAGCCAAGTAAATCCGATAGTATTTCACTAAGGCAGGTTCAAAGCCGCAAGCTACCTCTCCTGATGCAATAACTTTCCGTTTGTACTCTCTCTAGTGTCTGCATTTCATTTGCATAGTTTCGGTAATTTCCATTCATGTGGGGGATTGTTGGAAATGGGTCAAGTTTGACCAATAATTCGGGTGGGACCCGGTATCCGTTTTGTGCGGGTCAATGGTCAAACGCGTTCTACTCCGCGAGTAGATATTCGAGATATATTTAATATCACAAAACCATTTCCGGATGAGTGAGAAATTAATGCTAGAAGTTGGCAACTTGAAAGTAAAAATCCTGGAATTTAAAATCAAGTGTGGGAACTTAATCCCACATAGGAAGTTGAAAGAATTTTGAACCAATTTATATACCTCAAGTTTGGATATGGGTTTGGGCCCCAAGGGGTACCAATAGTCTTTGAAAGGGGGAAGTCTTAGACAATGTCTAGACTAGTCCAAAGCCCACACGCGCGCGCGCCGCCGCCGCCGTCCGTCCGACCGGTCGGCTCGGCACGGCACGGCACGAGCACGAGTCGGGTCGGGTCGGGTCGTGGGTCGTGGTTGGTTCCTATATTCTTTTTGGACAAAATAAATTAAAATTATTTATTTAATTTATTTTTATTTTCGGAAATTGATTAAGTGAAAAGGTGTGTCTTTTCTAATCTATTCGAAACTGTTTGGACTAAAACGGACACAAACCAATAGTTGTGTCTATTCAGGAATAACTTTCAAAGAGTTGCAACTCTTGGCCTGCAGCTTTTGGAAATCTATAAATAGGACCCCAGTTTCCGATTTTCGTTCATTAAAAAATTCATAATTCTCTTGTCTTGCATTCTGCATAACTAAAATTGTTTTCCCGTTCATTGAGAGAGTACGAAACGTTTTCTGGTTCGCTGTTCTTGCTGTTAGAGTGCTTCTACACTGCAAGTGAAAGATTGTTGTAGCGTGGGAGGCGATTGGCGTCGACTGTAAGCACCTTAGCATGCCAAAATTGTCTTAAGGAAATAGAGTTGAACTCTAGTCTCAATCTACTGTTTTCTGCAATTTCGTTGAGAGATTATTCGATTTGCCATTTCCTTCTCTTAGTTTATGATTTGTTACATATTTCGCGTGCTAAATAATATTTCTAACATTTCTTCTTATTATTATGTTGTATATAGGACATATTTGTGTTGGGCCATGCTATTTGTACACAGAGAATTGACACCCCAGCGTACAGAGGGGGCCCACGATTTTTGATTAGTCTGGGTCCCCCTCTTGTGAAGGGGCTCACCTCGGTGTACAAATAACATTTTCCTTTCATGTTTGTCAATTGTCGTTCATGCCTGTGCCACATCAATGAATCATGGCTGACTTTTTCTTTCAAAGCATTATTAATTTTGTCACCTCCAATATTTGAACGATTCTTCATTTTTGTTTTTGTGGTCTTTAAATGAATAGAACAAAAATATGTTAATGTTTTTGAGGGCGCAATCAAAGTCCTCTACAACTTATATAAGTTTTTTTGGGCATTGTTTTTGAGAAAAATAGATTTTGTAATGGTTATTTTTTGAAGAATGTGTGGTTAAAAAATAAGGAAATGTTTTAATTTTACGTGTAAATTTATTTTATTGAGAAAATGTGAGATTGAAAATGAATTTTGAAAAAATTAGATTTTAAAGAATGGTGCTTAAATGGGGTTTTGGTTCTTATTATGCCCCCGTTTAATCACCATTCTTTAAAATCTCATTTTCTCATAATTCATTTTCAATCACATATTTACACAATAACATATTTTGTACGTAAACTCAAAATTTTTCTTTATTTTTTAACCATACATTCTCCAAAATTTCACTATTCAAAACATTGTTTTTAGTAAATAATGGCCACCAAACATTGGCTTAGTTATAAAAAAATTGATAGTTTTAGTTCCGAAAATGAAAATAAAATACAGATAGAAAAATAAAAGAAGGTAAATAGTCTTTCTTCTTATTGTATGTTTTCTGGAATATTTTAAATTCAATTGAATATGCATAACAAGCATTTTTGTTGTGAGTTTGAGTAAAATTTTAATAAATATTTTGAGTTCGAGTCAAATTTATTGATGTACTTATGATCAAGTCATAATGCGATGAGTTCAAAAGAACGAAAGAATATAAATCATAGAGAAATGCTATTCATCCCCACTGGGATGCATCCCCAATCTATGTGGTGTTAATGTGGCCTTAAATGATAGGTGAAATTACTTATTTAATTTCACATATCATATAACCAATAATTTACATCCATATAGATTGGGGATAAATAGCATTTTTCTAAATCATATTGAGTTTGTATAAACAAATAGCAAGAATGAGCAATAGCGGAGAGACAGAAATTATAAAAAGAAATATTGGATGTATCAAATCCTTCACAAAACTAAGGCTCTGCTTGATAGAATTTTTTTGGAAAGAATAAGTTTTGAATTGTGAATTTTTAGAGAACGTGTGGTTAAAAAATAGACAAAAATTTTGGATTTACGAAAAATATTTTATTGTGAGAATATGTGATTGAAAATAAGTATAATGAAGACATATTTGGAAAGAATGAATGTCAAACCGGGATTAAGAAAAATATTAATGTTCTTCTAATTATACATTTCAACGAATCTATAAATATTGTCCATTTATGTATCCTAATGGTACGTCAATGTAGCTCGTTGGTCAAGTTTTATATTATGGACGTGTTCGGTAGAGATTAAAATTGAAAAACTAATTGTTACAGTTAACTTTTACTAGACGAGTGAGACCAAATAACGATTATATTTTCAATTTCAATTTGATTTTGAGTTGTACCAAACAAGCTCTATATATAAAATAGTTTATAAATTATTTCCAAATGGACGATAAACGTTAAGCTTTCTTATAAGCAGATCTTTTGCAAGTAACAGACAAATAAATTTTAAAATAAATAATTCTTTTATGTGCCATCAGGACCATTTTGACACGAGTAATGCTATTCATTTTTATTGGGGATGAAAATTAAATGACAGGTTTAACTTATCATTTAAAACCACGTATTTTCATCCCCACTAGGGATGAATAATATTACTCTTTTGACAATGTAAAAAGTAAAAGTTTCTTAAAAATAATTCTAAGTTGAATCTTAGCCAAACATGCTTCGATAGTTTCCCCAAATTGTTTTCCTCTAAAATACACAGATCTCGCATAATTTAGGGTTGCTTCCGCCTTCAATATTCTCCTCCACCGAACTCCTCACTCTCCCTCTCTCGTTTGCGGGGATTACCTTTCAATTGGGCACTTCAATTTCACCAGGTACAGTTGTTATTCATTAGGGTTTTACGTCATTTCCACCAGTCCAATTGCTCGCAGCATCGTTACTAATTAGGTTTTTACGAGGAAATTGTCCTTGCTACTTTCACCACTTTATCGATCTAGAATATCCACTTTCCAGGGCTAGGGTTTTTTTCCCCATTTTCTCGGCATCCTTTTTAATTTATTCAGATTTTACTTCTTATTCACTGAAATACGAGGGTTGCCGAAATTTTTTTTTCTCTTTGGAGGGCCTTTGACGACGCGTTTGATTGTCACTATTATTTCTGTCTGTACGTGAAAGATTGCATTTTATTAACTTTTGTGTTTTTTTTATGTGATTACACTGTACATATATAGATATGGGTATAATAGCATTATGGATAAGTTAGTACCTTCCAGATATTTTTGGTTTATTCTGTTTTAGATCAAAACTCTGATAAATGGGATGGAAATTGAAATGTCATGTTTGATATGGAAAGATGGAAGGGAAAAAGAACATACAACCTCCATCCCATAAAGATAGGCCTCGTATTCCTTTTTCATATGTCCTGCCACTTTTATAATTGATTTCTTCACTTCCTGATATACCCCAATATAATATGCATTGTTATCAACAAATATGAATTTACCATTTTTCAATGTAGGGGTATATTAGGCAAAACGTAAGTAAAACTTATAGTTCCAATTATATTAATTGAGTTCTCTTTATCTATGTAAAAATGGAAGCAAGTCTATCTTTGTGGGCGGAAGGAGTATTCTTTATTTATGAATTTTGTTATTTCAATTATATATGTTTGTGAAATCTAGTTGCAACCGTTTCCCTTTGATTTTGATTCATCCTCAAAGTTCGTAATTTCTTTCAATGCATTCATGGGGACATTTAGGGTAGTGTGCAATGGGTGGTGAAAGTGGAAAGCGCTTTCGTTCTCATTGGGATGACGGGGATAGCAAGAACCAAAAGAGGCGAGTGGACAGAGATGAGAAGGGTAATGATGAACTGATAGTGTATAGGATTCTTTGCCCTGATGGTGTTATTGGGAGCGTGATTGGGAAGAGTGGAAAAGTTATTAATTCGATCCGGCAAGAGACAAGAGCAAAAGTCAAGGTGGTGGACCCGTTTTCTGGTGCTAAAGATAGAGTTATCACTATTTATTGCTATGTTAGAGAGAAGGAGGATGTCGAAGTTGATGAGGAATTCAATGATAAGGAACCTCTTTGTCCTGCTCAGGATGCGCTCCTCAAGGTGCACGAGGCAATTGCAAATGCAATGGCTATGGTCGGGGAGTATGACAGGAAGAAGAACGACAAAGATAAGGTGGAATGTAAGATTCTTGTTCCATCTAGCCAGTCTGCTAATATCATTGGGAAATCTGGTTCCACCATTAAGAAGTTGAGAAACAAGACAAGGACGAACATCAAGATCACTTCCAAGGATGCTAGTGACCCATCTCATTCGTGTGCATTGGAGTTTGACAATTTTGTCCTGGTAAGTTTTTCATTTGCTTAGAATTTTATAATTGTAAATGTCATCTTTACATAAATCTCAGCTAGAATATTTGGTAATAAATTAAAAATAGAAACATAATGTCCTAATTTTTTTTGTTCTTCACCGGGATCTTTATGGGTTGTTGCTATAAAATTCTTTTTTGTTGTAGAGCAATAATGCATGCAGTGCAGGTACATGATATACCTTTAGTTGTATAATGTGATGTATGTCTTTATTTGTGATAGATATCTGGAGATTCAGAGGCTGTGAAGAAAGCAGTTTTTGCCATTTCTGCTATCATGTACAAGTTTTCACCAAAGGAAGATATTCCTCTTGATGCCTCTGTCCTGGAAACCCAAACCCCTCCAAGCATAATCATCCCGTCAGATGTTCCCGTATATCCTGCAACTGGATTTTATCAAAGTGTAGATCCTATTATCTCTTCCAGATCTATTCCTTCCATTTTAGGTCCTGCACATGCACCAGATATGCCCAGTCGTACTGATGCTGGGAACACGTGGCCGGTTTATTCATCCACTCTTCCTGTGGTGTCTGGTTATGGTGGTGTGTCTCGATCTGAGGAGTTAACTATAAGAGTGTTGTGTCCATCTAATAAAATTGGCCGTGTTATTGGCAAAGGAGGAAGTTCCATCAAACGTATAAGGCAGGACAGTGGTGCCCATATTGAGGTTGAGGACCCAAAGGCCAATAACAGTGAGTGTGTTATCACCATTATCTCAACAGAGGTATTGCCATAATTGCTGATTTTTTGGTTTTAGTTTTATCTATTTGAGATGATTCTAGAAGAAGACGAATCTTTTTGCCAGTCATTCTTCTTTTCTGCACACCACATGTTTATCTATCGAGGATATTGAGCTTAGGTTTGCTTTTATTTGATCATACACAGTTGAGGGGGATTATCATGTTCCCATGTTTTTGTGTACTACCTTGGGATTTTTTTTAAAATCTGAACACTTGGTTTATAGATGTGTATAAATCGTTAGCAGGTTATGTTTTACATCAATTTATTAAATAATTTGCTGACTGGTGAAGACTACTTATTGCACATCTTGAATCTCTGTTACTGTCTTTATGTCTCTTTCTTTAAGCCAGAAAGTTGATTTCATGTAAGCCGTAGTCCACTTTGCTTGGACTTTTATTTGGTAAAAGATGATAGCAAAAGTACACACGTTCATGTTTGACAACTTCATTTAGTGTCTATTTCTTACAATTTTTGCTTATTTATTTCTTTTGGTCTTTTTAAGTTCATTGTTAAATAATCGCTTGCCAATATTGTCAAAATTTCCTCTTTCATTCGTAGTAATTATGTGCAATATTTGTTTTGGGCAGTCACTGGATGATCTGAAATCCATGGCTGTCGAAGCTGTGTTACTGCTGCAAGGAAAGATAAATGATGAAGATGATGGCACTGTAACTTTGAGGCTTCTTGTTCCATCTAAGGTTATCGGGTGTATCATCGGGAAAAGTGGTTCAATCATAAATGAAATCAGGAAGAGAACAAAAGCAGATATACGGATCTCCAAAGGCGAGAAGCCTAAATGTGCAGATGCTAATGATGAACTTGTTGAGGTATAGGTTATCTGACTCGTGTTATTGTTGTACTCAACAATGTCTCTTACTTGGCACCTTATTTATTGAAATCCATGTTCCACATGATAGGTTGTTGGCGAAGTTCGTAGTTTGAGAGATGCACTTATTCAGATTGTCTTGAGGCTCCGAGATGATGTGTTAAAAAATAAAGAAGGTGGCCACATTTCTTCTGCTGGTGCTGGTTTTTCGATGCCCTCAGTTTTGCCTAGTATTCCTCCAGCTGCTCCTTTGGGCTATGAGCACAGGTCCGAAACTGAGAGTGGGGTGGGCCTGCTTTCCTCCAGCGCCTATGGGTCCCTGTTGGTAAGCAACTGGGCTTTAGTAAAAGCTATTTTCCTAGTAGACTCGTGTATAAAATGAAAAAGTTTTCACGGTCTATCTTTAGTTTACATTTCCTCATCTGCATAGTAAACCGAGTAATAGTGAACAAAGCATTGCAAATTATAAAGCATTGGAAGGAGCTATGATCATTTTCGTTAATGAAGATCATGATTTGGGGCAATGTCCCATGTCTTCATGATAACCCTGCCAAAATAAAAAGAACAAAAAGAAATGAATGAGACCTTTTAAGTTAGTCTCTGCTTTTCTGGTTGAGAGTTCTGCAAGATATTGGTATGGCCTGGTGATTCCACATGTTATTTACACCCATAAATTGTGTATACATTTATTCTGGAGTTTCTCTTGTTTTGGGTGAAGAATGTTGTTAGTTTATATCTTGGCGGCTATCTGAAAGCAATATTTTTTATTATTTCTTCATTCAAATTCGAAGTAGCGTCTTAGTATAATAAATCCGGTTCTTTCCTAGATTTTCTTCAGTCTATGTTTTATACATGTATTTATTGCAGAAGGTCGTCTACTCGTGTGTAATATTTTCATCAGATGTTACTTTTTTTTTCCGTCAATTATTATCACTATAGGAGAACTGGACTAATTTAAATCTTGTTTGGGAGTTGTTTACAAACTATTTAAATTATAACGATAGATATGAGAGGTGAATAAATGGGTAGTACTTGTGGGTTCTACGAATGTGTGAATAAAAAGTTGTTTGACCGATTATAAACAATTTATGAACATTAGCCACACATGGGCTTACTTAAATTTTTGATGTATAATTGTGTGGTCAAGTTACTTTTGCAATTTCTGCTTGAGCCAGATACTACTAAATGCCATATTCATCTAATTGTTTATTTTAAATCTCATGGTTTGTTTGTCCTCCTCTAACCTTGTTTGTTCTCTTTAATAAAGACCGGAGATAGTGGTTATGGATCATTTTCCTCTCATTCATCGTCATTGTATGGAAGGTAGTTTTCTCTGTCATTAATTTATTACTTGGATTTAATGTTTCTTAAGTCTTCAGTGTATGTCTTTAATCATAATCTTACCTTGTTAAGCAGATTGCCTCCGCCTTCAACTCTGGAAATGGTTGTACCTGCATATGCAGTTGGTAAAGTCATGGGCAAAGGTGGCATGAATATTGAGAATATACGTAAGGTGAGTTGTTTTACTTTTACTGAGCAATGACCAATACCTTCTGTATTTCTCTTCCACTGTGTCTGGAACGTTCCTCCTCTTTTCACTTCATTTTCCTGCTATTTACCCCACAAATCAAACACTTCAGTCATTTGGGATACACAGTTGGCTACATATCAGGAGGTAAATCCTTTTTTTTCTTCAGCTGTCCAGGACTGACAGCCTACTTAACTTGCAAATTAATATTTTTGCAGCATGATGGCAGTCCTGATACAATTGGGTTTCTTTTCAATTGCTAATTTTGGATGGCCTGGTTATGAAGTCTTGACTTTTGTGTTGCGAACTGTTATCCTAGATATTGACTATGTTTGGCTAAGCTTATGAGGTGCTTATAGACTTGGCCAAACATGCTCATTGTCATGTCTGTTGTGCCATTACTTTAGAATTGCATCAATTTGCAGGCTAGGATATACATAAGCTGTTACCTTGAAAATCTTGGAACTCCTCTTGGGGCAAATACTCTCCCCAGCTGGGAAGGGCATTTTGGGGATTGGGGGGAGAGAGGGAGTATGCATATGGTGTCACATTTGGTTGTCTGGATTATTGTGATTTGTGCATGAATATCACCTTTCACTTTGAACTTACATTCTCACATGCACACATTCTCTTCCAGATATCTGGTGCAGCAATAGAGATTTCAGATTCCAAATCATCGCGAGGTGATCGCGTGGCTTTAATCTCAGGCTCATCGGAACAGAAGCGTGCAGCTGAAAACTTGATTCAAGCATTCATAATGGCCACTTAAATTATGAAGATACTTTTGTCCTCCTGTATTTGAAAACTGTGGTTCAGTGCTGGGTTCTTCCTTCAATCATTTCTCATCTCAATCTCCTTTAGTTTACCATCATGGAGAGTATTTTAATTCATAGGATTCTCATGGACTCAGTTTTCTTCTGTAGGAAATCTTTAGCGTGCAGCTGAAAACTTGATTCAAGCATTCATAATGGCCACTTAAATTATGAAGATACTTTTGTCCTCCTGTATTTGAAAACTGTGGTTCAGTGCTGGGTTCTTCCTTCAATCATTTCTCATCTCAAGCTCCTTTAGGTTACCATCAGGGAGAGTATTTTACTTCATAGACTTCTGCTGGACTCAGTTTTCTTCTGTAGGAAATCTTATTAAGATGTTGCTGGAAGTTTAGTAGCATGTTCTGTTTTCAAACGGTATAGGTTCTGCCAGTGTTGCCTGATAAGTTCTATTCATCCATGGTAGACTTTGATAGGACGTTTTCTTTCCTTTCGGTGTTTATCGAGCCTTTGTGCATCTTACTTCTGATATTGATTTTCTTGTGAATTTGATGTTGAGTTGATTGTCAAACTCTTAATACATGGATCCTTCGGTTTATTCCTATTCCTTCCTCTCAGCCTTTTCTCCTGTCTTTTTTATGTATATGTGATTGATCCAGGTCTCTTCCTCGCGTGCCCTCTGTGCTGTTCACATGAACAGATGTAATTGCTGAACGACCCTCTCCTGACGAAATGCAAGTTTATGAGGCATTATCTCATCCCAATCTGAATACTCTTGCTTGATTTGGTACAAGTATCTAATGATTGCTGAAGCTATGAAACTGCAATTTCTGATAATACCTAATTTTCAACTGCTTATCTAGATTCCTTGTCATGTACTATTAATCTACCTGTATGTCCCTATTTTGTATTTATTCTTGCCTTTCATCAGAAACCTATACGCTTCCTTGGTGATCTCCTAAGATTTTACTCCAAGTCATTAGGAGTTATTTTCATGTCTGATTCAGCCTTTCCTGAATTAGAATGCGTAAAATTCTGCATGTTATTTTACCCCAGCAGTATTTCATGAGGAATTGCCGTCTTCATTTCATTGTATGCTTACCAATTTACTCTTCCACAAATAGTACTAAATCAGACCCTCTGGGTTCAATGAGAAGACTTTATGTGTGATACTGTGATTTATATAGAATCAGGTATGTCCACTGCCATCCTCATCTTCTTCTGATCTGTCTCAGCCTATGTTTGGCTTATAAACTGTTTTTTAACACTTATCCACCACTCATTTTTTATCTCTTTATTTATTTAAACTGTTTATAAACACTTCCGAACATGCTTTCAGATATTTCTTTTGTTGTACTTCAGCAAGATATAGATGACTACAGTTCATTTCTTGTGCTCGTGCAATTACTAGATATAGTTTAGAAAACTATATCTCAAAACCCAATTAATTTCCTTTCCCCAACTGGTGTTCAAAAAGACTGAGTCAGGTACTGGTCTGTTCTGTGTATGTTGGGAGAGGCATAAGCCTCAAATAAACCATTAAAATTATTTAAAATTTATAATAATGCTTATGCTCATAACAAACCATATACCATTTAGTGCATGTTTAGTAGGTGATTAAATTAAATTTTAAGCAATTATAAATTGTTGGTCCTACAAAATGTATGGATAAAAAGTATGTTGACCATGAATGATTAAAATATAACATACCAAACATGCATTTAGGTAATCCATAATAAAACATTTCAACAAAATTGAAAGTTTGATTTGTAACTATAAATTAAATTAATTAATTAAATAAATAAATGATCAACAAAGTAGCAAGTGATAAAGCAATAAAGTACTAATCAGTAATCACATAACATGATTACTAATCCTCTACTCGAACAAGAAAAAAAGGTCCACCATATCATCATTTACTAATTACTAGTAAGATCTTCAAGAAAATCACAGTATATTTTACCCTAGTATTCTACCTATTAAATAAATTCAGCCCATGTTTGGGCTCCCTTATCTAAAAACTGCATTTCTCTCTCTCTCTCTCTCTCTCTCTCTCCAACTACCCATTCTCCAATAAAATAATATTACTCGTAAACCTAAATTTTTTCCTTATTTTTAAACCATACATTTTCCAAAAAATTACTATTCCAAAATATATTTTAAATACATTTTTAATGGAGCCCAAACAGGGGCTCAATATTCTTTAGATAATAGAGCTTTTAGCATATCATTTTTTATAATTAATTCATATAATAGGCATAAATTTAATGTGTTGTAATTCTCTTAGTTAACTATAACAAAAATTGGTTGAAAGGTAGAATTCCATTAGATTGTTTAATAATAAATAGTTCACATATCAGAAATATTAAATTATCTACTTGTTAAATTAGGTCACAGTGTTGAATATTAAATTTAATTATTTTCTCAATTATAAAATATAACTAATAAATTGGTAGAACAATATTAAATACCAGTTCATTAAAACTTCAATGTTACTTAAATGAGAAATATAACTATTTAGTATTTCAAACAGTAACTTTAATTTCAGTTTATTAAGATATACAAAACTACAAACTAAACCCTGTTGCCAATAAATTTGCGCCAGTACACAACTCCTTTTCGCCGTCCTTTTGGTTCATTACTAGATCCAAACCTACTTAGCCTATATTTTATAATACTCGAGCAACTTTTATCCACATATTTCGAGTGACCTACATATATAATCTACTTATCCATCAGTAATTTCTATTTATTTATATTAAAGCCATTTAAAAACACGTCGTCACTTCCCAAACATGCTTTAAATAAATAATTCCACAAAACTCTAATTTCACATCTAACCATTTTCTATTCTCATCAGCTAAAATTATACCATCAAATAACGTACACTAAGGGAACTTATCTTGAATATGTCATGAGCTCATCTATGACTCAGGTGAAAAGATGAGTTATCAGAACTTTGGTGCAAGCCTACAGTGATTGGGAATTCTCTACTACCACAACCACAATACCTCACGGTCATGATTGCAACAATGCTATTCCATTTCTCAACTCATAAGTGTCATAATGGCTTTTGCATTTATTTCATATTCTAAGTCTCCCAGCAAGTAGTAGTTTTCGAAACCTGTAATTACTGCAACTGACAAAAATGTAAATATTGAAAAAAGTACTACTGCTTATAAGTGAATAATTACTGCACGGGTAACATTTTCAAGCTTACCAAAACGAGCTCTCCACGAGTCATAAGTTAAGGTGCCTGCCTCTGTCACTTTGTTAACATTTTCCGGAACATCTTCTGCCTGACATTTCTTTCCTTGAGACCGTGTTCTGTCCTGACTTTCTGCTGTCATAGCATTCATGAGTACATATCCGTTGGTTTTCCTTTTATTCAGATTTATTTTCTCCAATTCTTTCTTTTACTGCATCTTTTTCCCCTTTTGGTGTGATTAGCTTGGTTGTGTGGAGGTTTGAAATATAGTTTCGATAAGTATTTTTATTGGTTTTGACGATTCCATTTCATCTCTATTGTAAACGTCGTATTCTCTACTAGCCAAATGATATTGTTCTTTTGCTAGCATTTCCTCCAAGGTTTTGTTAGAAACCACTCGAATCAGCTTATCTTCTATTCTCTTTCGCCATGATAATGTCATGGGATTACTGAGATTAACAGTTAGGCCAAAATTTCACAGTTGCACCCTAATGAGTTTGCCCACCACTCTAGTTTACAAGTCAGTCTAGTTGATGTCATCCATTATCGGGTAAATCATCATTCTCACTAATCGAGAAAGCTGCAAAAGTGATTAATACTTGCTCGTAATTCTGCCATTGTCCTTCTTCATCCATTTGGCAATCAAAACTTGTATTACCTTCTTGTTCCCGTCATTGCATATGTTTGAATCGAGTACATTCCAAAGGGTGGGTTCCCTAATAACTGTTCATGTTATTAGTTTGTGGTCAAAGTAGTTTATTTTGGGGCTTTGCCTCGCTTAATTTTGGTGCAGTGGCTGTCTTGAATGCCTGGGCTGTTGTAGATGTTGAACTTTTGTCTGGTGTACCTTACATGTAAAATTAATTATTTTTTTCAGTACTGTTTTCTATTTGTGAGGAGCTTCTTTACGAGGTTGGACATGTCTTTTGTTGCTTTTAGGCTTATTTTTTATGGTGAGTCATTTTTTAGTTTCTTTGTTTTATTTATTTGGATTGAATAAAAGGAAGAAGAAACTTCCCTCTCGTATCGTTGGATGTTTCTTCTTTTCGGAAGGTCTTTGACTGTATCCTTCCTCACATTTATGACAATTTATACACTATGTATGCTCTCTTTTTTCCTTCCTTTTTTACAAGCAAGACTATAGCAATAAAATGATATTTTTCACGTATGTTGGTTTTCCAAAAAGATGCAAATATCTGGTTGTTTTTTTCCTAATGAATTTGCAGGTCTAAATAAATCTAGATTACGCCTTTAATAATTCTGCTGGGGAATGATAGTTTTGTGGCATTATTAGAAATACAACTGCATAACCTTGTATGTTTTGTCATCGTCTTGTATATTTATTATGTGCATACATTTGTTGCAAAGACTACCTAAAGACTCCTACGCTTGTATGCTGCGGGGGTGCTTTCCTTTTTTTTGTTTAATCCTGAACTATAATCTACATGTACGCTTATATGTAGTTGACGGGTTTCAAATTATTGCATTGTTTGTTTAACAAAGCAAATAAGGAAACAAAGCCGTGTCTTTAAATTTGTATAATTTACTGCTAATTAGGGCCCTTTTGTATTGCTGCGTTCAAATATTTCTTCGTAATCAAGATTATGTGCATATTTCTTTTGCTTATTCGATTCTCAACTTGAAATAGCAGTGTACATTAGAAGATTCTTCAAATGCCTTTATTGAAGATATATTCATAATGCTATCGATGAACTTGTTGGGGCTTTCGGGCATGCCTTGTTTCGTTTTGGATTATCCAAATATTTATGCCCGGTAGGGTTCTTTGCAGTTTTGGCTCGTGTATCTGTGATTGAAATTTATCGTGTTTTGTCCTCACAAGGGATTTTGTTTTGGTGCAAGGCATAATAAACTATGCATAGCACTTGCTTGTTTTGTAAGTTCATGTACATGTAGACAATGTCCCAAGTCGACAAGGTGGAGACAATAATGCTAAAACTTTTGGTGGTTATATAACTATATTATAGTTAGAAACGGCATCTTTGATAAATATATAATGCAACCAAAGAGAGCTCCAGAAACCTTTGGAAAATCCTAGTCGAGGTGTCAAACTGGCCAACGTATCATCCATGCTCGACCTTTATTTAGCCTGAACATGCCAGGTCCATTGGAGATTCGGCTGGTTTTACACTTCTTGACTCGAACGCTTGTACTCTAGAAGAAATGTAACAACCCTTCAAGATTGAAATGTAAATAATATATTTCCATTCATTCATTGTTTAGTACGGACTGCACGGCTTTGTACGCTCCGATTCTCTTCTGGAAAACTGTGAATTTTTTTGATATATCCAAAGAGAATAACATCGACACATGCCATAACGTGTGGGCTAATCCTAGTGCACATGATTCTTGATACCTAAACGGGACACAAATGTTTTTATTGCACATATTTTTTCAACCCATGTTCTGAGGAACTAATGTATTTTTAAGAAAACATCTCATCAAATGTGAATAAATTAACTACACAGTATTATATTTTATGTATTTGTATCAGTATCCATGTGATGTGATTCAACATAATTGAATGTTCATAATTCTCTTCCAGCTCTTGTTTTATGGGCACTCATTAATATATGATTTGTTCCACCTAAGTTTGAGTTGTGTGTTTATGTGAGCTTGTGCATGCGTAGTTGATCGTCTGATTCCTCAATTGTTAATTGTTCGTGTGTAGAGTTGTACATGCGTGCGTGATTTATACATCGATTCTTTTTGTTAATCATGTTATTGTTTTGTTACCAAAATGCGATTAAAATTATTGAAAGAGAGAGATTCGTAGCAACTTTGAAATAATATTAAGCCTCTGTTTGGTACACATTAAAATTTTCATTCTCATTCTTCTACTCATTTTTAACCACACATTCTTCAATAAAATAATATTTTTCATCACATCAATAACTTTTTCTTCTTTTTCAACCACATATTTTTCATCAATCTACTATTTCAGAATACATTCTTTCAAAATAATGTTGTTCAAACACACCCCAATTAGGAATTTACTCACTATAGAGTCGAAGGTTGAAGATTTAGGTATTACAAACGTCTTTGCTCTAGTTAGGTATATGAAAATTTATTTACTATAATTTTATGTAGAAACTATTTAAAACTAGAAACTCCAGGAAAAGGAAAGAGGAAAAAAATGATAATGTTATCTAGCATCAACGGTACTAGAACACCAGTTTATTTGTATTATGTGATAGATACAATTAGATGTGAAGTTAAGTAATTCATTTAATTGAATTTATAATTTAACGTCATTAATGTTGTCACTTAAACTGATATTAAATATCAGTGGTGTTAAATAACATTATTCGGGAAAAAAAAAATGACGCTCCACGTGAGTCTAGGGAAGTACATTTTATGTGCCATTAGTTGCAAGCATTTTATAGAATTGACTAATGTCAGCTGAAATGGGCCCACTGCCAACCAAATTCAACTTGCCAACTAAACAGAGACTATTCACCAAACAGCAAGTCGCATCTCTTAGCAATCTTAACCAAATCAAATTGCTAGTCTGGCTTGTTTGTGAAATTTAAAGTAGAAGTGCTCGAGGATTTCCTGGCCAGTAACCATAACAAGGTCAGCTAACCTTATCACGATAAGCAATAGAGACCGACAAAAGCCATTACGATAATAAGTCACAAAAAGGACTCGAACACATTTTGTTCCATATGCTAATAGGGCATGATGTGTCTATACGTCGTTGAAGTAATAATAGTGCGTTTAATGTGTAAACTTAACACGCCACCTGCTCAAATTTAAAAGGTAATGTATCCGTTATATCAAAAGACACGTATTTTTCCATATCTCTATCTATCAATCGTAGTGTTCATTCCTTACACGTCAATTTGGACGGTTGCTTGGCATTATTTTTCTGAATTATTAGCCATCCTGTGACTTAATCTCACATAAGAAGTCTTTTATTAAGCCCTTGTTTCATCCACATTATTTCAAAACTCATTTTCAAATACATATTTTTCAATAAAATAATATTTTTATCACATCAACAACTTTTATTTGCTTTTTAATCACATATTTTTCATCATATTATTACTATTAAAAATACATGATTTTCTCAATAATATCCATCAAATACACTTCCAAATGATTCTCTCTAAAAAAGTACTCTACAAGAGATCAATTAGACCGAGAAAGTCTAATATATCAATCACATACTTGTAACAATCAATCACGTTCGATATTTTGTCACTATTCGATACAAATTTATAGATAATTTATAAAGAAAACGAATACATATGCCCATGTTTGATGCACATTTTGGGAATAAGAATGCATTTTTATTGTTGATGTGATGAGGGATATGTGATTGAAAAAGAAGAAAAAGTTATTGATATGATGAAAAATATTATTTTATTAAAAAATATGTGATTGAAAATGAATAGAAGAATGAAAATAAGAAAATGACGTGGCTCAAATAGGGAGATAGTGGAAAAAATGTCTTTTTTTTTTTTTGATAATGAAGAATTGCATTAATGAGAGAATCAACGATTACAGACGATTGTCAAGCCAAATAGCTTGAGAGATAAAGTTTGGAAATCCCTCCCACCACATTTGAATGGACTCAACTTCCCACGCATGTCTGGCTAGTTCACAGCTACCCCATTTCCTAGTCTATCACGTGACATATAATGACATCAGAAAAAGCAAGCAAAAGACGTCTGATGTCTGAGATAATGGAACCCCAAGGAGACAGGGTAATAGATTCCGCATCATTGAGTTGTGAGACAACGAGAAGACAATCTGATTCAAGGACCAAGTGTGAAATACCCATGAATAAAACAAACTGGAGCCCTCGAAGTACCGCAAGGAATTCTATCGTTTCTGGGTTAGCCACTTCCCTTTCTCCTTTAGAGGCAGCCATAAGCACTTTTCCTTCTTGGCCTCTTAGGACACTACCAACTCCAGCTTTGTGAAGGTGATGAAATATCGCACCATCTACATTTAGTTTCAGGAACCCCGTCGGAGAAGTTTTCCATGCACAGAATTTGTTCAACGCAGAACCCGATTGATTTTTGACTCCTTTGAATAAATGTAACTTCGAAATGGCATGGTCTATGGTAGAGCTCATATTTAAACTTTCATCTTCAAACAACTTTTTGTTTCTGCACATCCAGATACTTGAAGCTACTGTAAAAAATAAACCCATATCCTCTTTATCTGCATGATCACGTCAAATAAGTTTTGGTTTCGATCAACTTGTGATAGTTGAGGGAGAAACTTTGTCCAATAATCAACCAACGCCGGACATCGTAGAAGGATATGATTCAGATCCTCTGCCCCTGCTTCGCAGAATCCATAGCCAATTGAAAACTTTATCCGCTTCCTGATCAAATTGGCGGCAGTCGGCAGGATGTTCAAGCACACTCGCCAAGCAAAAATTCAAACCCTATGGGGAATTTGTAAACTCCATATGGTCTTCCACAACTCCTTGATTGCTTGAGAATGAGATGACTCCTCTATGCAAGTAGATTTGTTGCTTTGCATTCATTTGTATGCTGACTTTACCGTGTATTTTCGATAGTCGAAAAAATGTCTAAACCCAAACAATCACCTCATTTTATCCTTCTTCATTACGAATCAGTCCTCAATTACCTTTTATACCCTCCACTCTCTCTCACGCACGCAAATCGTGTATCTATCTATTCGACCATTTTCTTCCATTCCTCATCTCCTCCTCCCCCTCGACGCCTCTGCAGAAGCCCCATACCCAAAAACATCAAGAATCCGCTTTTCTTCAGAACATAGATCTCTCTTCCGGCTATCTATAATTTCTGTTTTTCCCAGATCTTACCTAAAAAGCAGACACCCGAAAACTCATCATACATACATACATATGGGGGTGCAGAAGAATTAGGGGTCGGAAGATGGGTTCTTTGAAGTTAGATCTATATTGCAGAATCTACCCGGAACGGATCGACCACTTCGATGTGCTTCCGGATTCTATTCTTCTCTTAATCTTTAACAAAATTGGCGATGTCAAGGCCTTGGGTCGATGCTGCGTCGTTTCTAAGAGGTTCCACTCTCTGGTTCCTCAGGTCGAAAACGTAGTCGTTCGGGTTGATTGTGTCATCTCTGATGATGATTCTTCGTCGTCGGGGAACTCTGCCTCCTCCTCGGCGTCGGCAGCTAACAAGTCCCGCCATCCCATCTCATCCCTTTTTCGGCTTTTCTTTTCGGGCCTCTTTCAGTCACTTACCCAGCTGATTACTCCCTCCCCACGCCGCTCAATCGTTTCTAATACGGAAGATTTCTACGATATAGACCAGAACAGCGTGACCCATCATTCCCCTACTCAAGTCTTGAAGAATTTTGATGAAATCAAGCTTCTGAGAATCGAGTTACCGACTGGAGAGCTCGGAATTGATGAGGGAATTTTGCTTAAATGGAAGGCCGACTTCGGTTCCACGCTTGACAATTGTGTTATTCTTGGAGCCTCCAGTGTCATTCAGACCACGAATACTAATGAGTGTTCCAGTGTTTGTAATGTTGATGGTAATGGAGCTGAGAGCGATAATGGGAGCATACCCGAATCATTTTACACAAATGGGGGCTTGAAACTGCGTGTTGTATGGACAATAAGCTCATTGATAGCTGCCTCTGCTAGGCATTACCTGCTCCAGCCAATAATAGCAGAGCACAAGACGTTGGAGAGCTTGGTTTTGACGGATGCTGATGGACAAGGGGTGTTGTATATGAATAAAGAGCAGTTGGAGGAGCTGAGGGCGAAGCCTCTTTCTGCCTCATCGGCTTCCAAGAGGACTCTGGTGCCGGCTTTGAGTATGCGGTTGTGGTATGCCGCACATTTGGAGTTGCCAGATGGGACTGTGTTGAAAGGGGCGACCTTGGTGGCGATCAGACCCAGTGAGCAGCCCAAGAAGGAGGTTTTGGAGTCAGAAGTCAATTGGGTTGCCTCAGCACTTGAGGAGCCATTTGGAACTGCTGCAAGGATGCTGGTGAAGAGGAGGACTTACTGTCTGGAAATGAACTCATTTTGAGATGGGATTCCAAATACATGTTTGAGGTAATTTCCTTTTTGCAGATTTATTGGAAATTTTGAATTGGTTCAGAGATCTCTATGTTTTGTAGGCATATGTCTGTATATTTTAATTGCAAATTTTGAATCTGAGTATTAGTTCTATGACGTGTACATTCATTGGTATGCTAGGATGTTTTTCTGGGTGGTTAATATGTGATTCTTTGGCTAGTTTCCCTTTAAGAGTGCTACCACTCTGCATTGTTTCTGCAGTTGTAAATTGTAGATCCATTTTCTATTCATGGTCTATATTTTACAATTTTATACTCGATGGATAAACATCATAATGTATATCTCCTCTCAGACCTGACCTTTGTGATCTGGATGTGGCGTCTATTTTCTCGTCTAGTATTATGATATTTTTTACGCAGTGGATTTATGGTGCTGTATTCATGGCAAACATTTTTCTCATTGATTTCCTGCATTGCTCGAACTTTATCTATTCACCATCAAAATCATTTCCCTCAATCATATGCTATTGTGGCTTTTTAATTATGTGATTAGGCTTTCTTTTAGTGTGCTGCAGCCTGCAGTTTGAGGGTAAGTGCTAAAAGGTGAATGTGGAATTCATCTTTTTTTTTTTTTTTGGAGAATGATGGTAGATTCATCTCTTCAAGTAATTTGTGAGCGAGAAAGTATATTGTATATCTCGAAGTATGTTGTGTGGCCTTTCATAATTTTTTCTACTTTTCGCTAATAGAATGTGAAATGCTTATCGCTTTAATCTGCTTTTTCATATATCTTGAGGTACGGACAGTCTTCTGCATTTTCTATATTCATGGTAGTCTTGACACTGTTCTGCATGGTTGTTTCTTCATTCTTTTATTGGTTTGAATGGTTCACTTGCTCACCCTGAATTCTTTTTTGGTGTTTATGAATCTTTCAGGGAGAACACGGCTTTCCGAGGAGGAAGATTCATATGCCGGGTAAACACAATTTTGTTTTAAGCAGTGTACCATAGATGAATAGCTAGTCAAGCTTATTCATGCTTCTACTACGTACGAAAAGCCAGCTGTTGATTGAAAAAATGAGCCATGGAACAATCCTCCTACAGTCGTGCTGATGTTAGATAGGCATTTGCTTTTATTTTAATTTCGGGCATATGCTTTTACTGGCATGTTGAGCTTTGTGTCTTTTACTCTTTACTCGTCTACTAATTTTATGTATCTGTGAATATTATAGGGATGAATACTGTATGCTTATGTAATGTTGCTTTAAGGTTCATGGAGCAATGTATCTTTCAATCATCCTGAACTATTGGCAGTGTTGTTAATGTACCTAATTAATTTGAAAATATATGTAAGTTGTCTCCAGCTATTATCCATTATTGAATCATCCATTTACAACTTCAATAGGGTAATGGATGTCCATTTCGTTTAAGGATTTCAATGCACAAACAAATACCTCCAAGAATTTGAATCCTATTTGCAAGTAAATTTATGTAGGATAAATCTAGATGTACCAAATGTATTACAAAATGTTTTACCAACTCGCTACTTGGGGCGCCCCTCCAATGGTGGGGCGTCAAGTGGCGAGTTAGTAAAATATTTTGTAAAATATTTTGTGAGTGTAGCATGGTCCATTTACGTAAGGTGCGTAAGAGGCGGTTCAAACAATCTGGAGGCCTAAAGCAAAATCGTCTGAGGGATTTGAGGACAATCATTGAAGTTCTGGTTGTTATTATTCTATTTCCATCCGTGATCATCAAATGATAAGGCTGTTCGTGATTCTGATTGAAATTGTCAACAAAAGCTATCCTTTACGAGATTTCTAGCCATGATCCCGACAATACAGCAGAGAAAATTAGCCTTCTCGTTGATTTGCTACACCCCTTTTACCCCATGGTATGTTTGATGAAGTGAACTGGTGAGAATTAGAAGCATTTGAAGACGAAACAATGCTAAATTTTTGTCTTTTATACTGTCCAATCCTCCATGCCCAAAAAGTTTTAACTGAGTAGACTTGTGATAAAATTATGCTCCAAAGAAACTTGGGCACAAATTGTATGCCTAGTGGACATAAAGTTAGTGCTGCTGCATCACCACCACAACCAGGTCCACCACCAAACAAAGTCTTTTTTTAAGAAAATAAGCATAATGGGGCAAGGATTATATGGTGCTGACTCAACTCATTCAAAAGATAGATTTTTTACGACAGTGAAAACAGAATCAAAATCATTCAACTACAAATAAAACACACACTACCTGGCACCCATAACGAATGGAAATATGTGATGCCAGTTGAACTATCTGAAAATCAATAGTGCAAAGAACAGGAGAGCAACAACAATAATAACTCCATGGCCAGAGGTAGGGAAAGTATGCTTTGCTCTGGACTCGTGGCAAGAAATTTACCTTTGACTAACTCAAACCTATTGTCAAGTCTTACTCAGCAGAGTATGAAACTTCTCATCTTCAGTTACCTGTATTAAAGACACGTTTAGTTTGTTGTATTTATCTAATGCCTTGTAAGCTTTTGTATAAAGGTAATCTAAATCAGTTATAAGGAAATCGGAAACTTTGTTCTAGTCCTCCAACAAAGGTAACAGAAAGTTAAAAATCAGAAACTTTCCCTGCATTTTCTTTCGAACACCAAATCATGAGATATTACAATTTTTCTATAAAATGTCTACAAGCAATAGACAAGCTCTCTTGACAACAGTCTCTATCTAACTATCACAATCCATTCTAAATAAGGCCCTAAAACGAGGTGTGGAACCTTTGACGACAACTGTAAATTGAGCCTAATAGAGGTTGCTATCCACTTACATTCTCTAGTACACTTTCTTTTTCTATAGTCGTACACTTACTTAAGCATCAAAGGTGAAACAACTACAAAGTAGTAAGTACCGTACAGTTCTAGCTTTCCTCAGCACTTTTTAAGACCATGTAAACATTTTTACTTTTTAGTGCTTATAAGTTGATCAAATATCATTTTAAATAATACATTCCTTAGCATGAATCGGAATTTTTGAGGAACGTAAGAGATAATTTGATTTGGTTAGACAATGTGTGGTTGGTACACAATTTTTATCTATTTTTAACCACACATTCTTTGATATTCACTACTTATAAGCACTTAAAAACTTAGCCAAGCAAGCACTTGACTAGGATTTAAGTAAAACAAGATATTAGCTTATCACGAAATCTTGTTGCATTCCCTATTCTAGTATTGTTACTATTCGTCCTCAACTATACCCACCTTGCAAGCACAATGATATTAGGGGATTATATCCAATTAGGCTTGTAGTACCAATAACAAGAATTATATTCAAGAGTTACACCATAATTCGAACATGTATACTATTTAGAGTACGTTAGGCAAGTATTTATATTAAATATGAAAATCAAATTACTTTTTATCCACATATTTCGTGAAACTTACAAATACTATACATATGTTTAAATATAGCAGAAATTGGAAAACTGAGGGTGAAAATTGAAGTTTTGAATTAACCTTGAGGGGTTGCTTAAATTGATCAGACCTTGAGTTTGCTCCCCAATGGTCACCAGTTCGAATTCGCTCAAGGCTACTGAGGTGAGTACCTAATCGTAAAATTTCAAAGCCCCGTGGAATTAGTCGAGGTGCGTGCAAGCTGGCCAGGACATCCACGGTTATATATAAAAAAAAAAATTTTGAAGTTTTGAATGAAAAATGTCCTAATTCTAGTCTCACAACAATTAAACCCTCACGACCATTCTATTCCTAATAAATTTTATGACCCTCACGAGATTTTATATATTCTAACTTGTAAATATTTATTGTAGGACTACTATCTGCACATGAGAGATAAAATGTCCTAATATGTTATAGTGTTTTATTTTCAGGATTCTTTTAGGCCTTTTGAGGGAACGACTTTCACGACGGGTTAGCTCTATATAAAGGCCTATTCTAGGTCAAATAAAGGGGTTATTCCCGTTACATGCAAGCAAAAGAGAAACATAAAAGGAAGAAGAGAGAGAAAAAGGCTAGAGTTCAAATCTTTGGTAGGGGAATTCTTGGTGCAAGAAAATTATATTTTTCTCATTTTCCCTTTGAATTTGGTTATGTACTTCAAAATGCTTTTGTGTTTTTCTTTCATTGTGATGTGTACTAAATAAATAGCTAGAGCAAACAATATAACTTAATTTTGAACCTTTAATTTCAATTCTCAAGATTCTCGTATTTAATTATGTCTCTTATTGATTTTGCTTCTACTCTTGCTTTAAAATAATTGGCCACTATTTTATTGATATCTAAATTAGCAACAAACCAAGAATTAAGTTACAGATTTAGATCATGTAGTAAAATCCGAAATTATTGCGTTCTTTAATTGAATTCCAAGGTGATTTGATTCATTTAGCTGAGGTTTCTTCGGATTCACATTAGATATAGTGAGTTAACTCAATTAATTAATATTCATTTGAACTCGTGAGTAAATTGATTTAATTAGTGAATTCGTCCAAATACAACTTTTGGAATTGAGCTTGAGAGGTGAGGTTAGCCCCTGTTTGATGCTCATTAAAAAGAATTTTTCGGGGAAAATGAGTTTCGAAATAGTGATTTTTTGGAGAATGTATGATGAAAAAAGTAAGAAAATATTTTGGGTTTACGTACAAAATATTTTGTAGTATGAATGTACAATTGAAAATGAATTTGAAAAAAAAAAATTTGATTTAATGGTAGATAAATAGGGGCTAAATGTGATAACTACGGTGAAATGGCGAATCACAATATTTTAACTGTCATATTATCATTTAATTGCTTTTATTTTCCCTAGTTAAAGTACTTTAATCAAAACCTTGACATCAACATTTGCTTGATTAAAATATGAGCTAGGAATATTTAGATTAATTATTAAATAGATAGTTTTCGTGGGAACAATAATCCGAATTTTTAAGTCCACTTTACTACATGTTTAATTGACATCGCGTACTTGTGATTATCACACTTTTTTCTTTTGTTTTTTCTATACTTGCCTAGTCTTTTATAATTATCACAAAATATAGTTTTCATTAACTAAGAGTATAGGGAGTTGAAATTTGTTTATAGAACTCAAGACTTTCACTTATAATATGTCATATTGCTATCTTCTAAAGCAAAAGAGCATTATATGTATTTATTTAGCCCGCCCCATTTTCTAAAACTCATTTTTTTCCTTAAACTCATTTTCAATTATATATTTCATCATATTTTTTTGTCAAAATCTACTAAAAATATGATTTTTAACTAAATCAAGTAGATGCTTAATTACATTCTCATATTCACTTAGTCCCTGTTTGATTTTGTTAAAAATCTAAATTTTAGTAGATTTTTTATAAAAGTTGTAAATCCCACAAAATGTGTAGCTAAAATTAAACATTGACTTTCATTTAGATTTTTGTTAATTTTTTAGCCTGAACCAAGGGTTTAATTTTTTTGTCAATTGAATGTGGCCATATTCATCCTTTTCTCCTTTAATGTCTTTCTTATTCATTTTGTACCTCAAAAGAGTCATGTATACAAAACAAATGTAAGAGCATTACAAGTAATAAATTTACATTCCAGTTTGATTTTTCTCTCTTTTGGATGTGATTTGGTATGTACCAAACATCCCTTTAAATACATTTTGGACAATTTATATATTCTCTTCCTATTGGAACCTTCATTTTATTCTTTAAGTAAATAAAGAAAATGATAAGCCTTGTTTGATTTTACTAAAAATTAGATTGTTAGTAGATTTTGATTAAAATGATTGAAATGTAAAAATTATGAATATCGTGAAATTAATTGTTAACTTTTACTTAAATTTTTATAACATTTTAAATAAACCAAACAGGGCTAAATATCCCTCTGTCATCTAAGTCTGTAGAGTCGGGAAACATGGGAACAAAAGGGTTTGTGTTTTAATTTTAACCTAATACTCTCAAAACCTCGACAGCAAGCGGTTTTGCTACCAATTGTTGAGCTCAAGCAAGAGATGGGGCAGGCACAACCTAAGGAGACACGGAATTTCTCGGATTAAATAAGAAAAGAAAAGAAAGGCCTTTTTTTTTAGTTTTCCTGCAAATCTCACATGGTAACCAGTTTTAGGTCTCAATCAAATGTTAAAAGATTGCTCCTTTTGGCCAGAGATTAACACCTGGCCTAGCCATAAACATGTTATTAAGAAGGGAACAAAACGAGACAGACAACCAGCCGTTAGCTGTTTCATAATCGCAGCTATCAATGCAGGTGTAATCAAGGATGAGGGAAAAAGGCTTATAAAATATATGCCCAATGGTCATGCTTATTTGTGAAAACCAAGAAATCAAAGACAGTTCATAGTATTACTGCACGAAAATCAAAATGGCACTATGAAAACCTAAGATAAAAACACAAATATGAAATAATATGGATCGAGAAATAATTTATGGAGCTAGAAGATTTTTTATTTACCTGGAATGAAGATGCGATGGAGAGGAAAAGGATGTTGAATGAACTCAGTTCTTTCTTTTTCCCTTCTGGGAATGCCTGCCACCATCACCATAGCAAAGCTGCAATCGGGCGTCTAGTCCAGACAGGAATTGTTGGTGGTTCTCCACTGGTGAGGCAGTGGTGCCGATAAAGAAATTCGGAGATCCATCTAAGGGAGGAAACCTCAGGAGGTGAGGCAAAAGAGACGGCGAGGAAGAATTGGACTGAAGGGTCCCCCTGTTGAAGCCAGCAAGGCTTGAAGATGCAGCAGAAGAAGAAATTTTGAAGTTCAGATTGTACTCATCAGCACCATTGTGATTATTATTGTTGTTGTTGTGTGCAGTGACAGCTGAAACAAAATGTTCCGGGACAAACGAGATATGCTGGAGCTCCGGCTGATGGTCCCCGGATACACTAAACAGTTGGGAACAAACTGGCTGCGAAAGAGGATTTGCCAAGTGAATTTGCCCCGGACGAGTTGTCTGTGGCCCTAATAGTCCACTGTTAAAGTAATCCATCGGGGTTGAAGACCATTGCCTGGGAGATTTTTGGAAAAAAATTGGCTCATTTGAATTAGTGTTTTGGTGAACAGAGGCATTAAGGTTGGTGTTGTTATTGACATTATTCATGCCAACACTCAAGAGTTCAGTGAAAGAAGTGGTATGGGAAAGAGGGTTCAAATGTTCAACATGAGGACACTCGTTCTCTTTCTCCTTCTCTTTCTCTGCAACTCTTTCCTTTGCACGCTCCCGGGCTTTGATCCGGTTTTTAGATCTGGAAAGAGATAGCCCGGAACCCTTCCCGGAGCCAGATTTGGATAAAATCGCCGCCGTCTGTTGAGGATCACCTCCTCCACCGTCCATGTCTACTTCATCTGAATCAAAACCTTGTTGATCATTACCGCCGGAGCTAGACCTCTTCTCGTCGCTCAGTTGCTTAGGAGTATCTGGAAATGCAGTACTAATGGAAGGGAGCTTCGTAATAGAACTGGCAGCGGCCTTCAGCAGCCACTCCACCGCCTTGCTTGGCTGATCGTAGCCAAGACGGTCCTGCAAATCGTAGAAATGAATCGCAGTGTTTACCGAGAGTCTCACGCGTCGATCTCTTAGCCCCTTTGAGGTGAAAACTTTGCTGTGCCTATCTTTTCCACCAGATGCTCTTGCAATCCGTGATGAAGGCCAGCCATTAAACCTACCAAGGCCACCTCCAAGATCGATACCGCCACCAAATCCGCCGCCTCCGTTAGCCCTGCCCCTCGTAGGCTCTCCATCTTCTTCATCTGCGTACTTCGAGTCATCTCCTTTCTGCCCTATTTTACTGAACTCGAGCCTAACATTTCCATTGCTGATTCTTGGATACTTGTACCCATGAGTTTGAATGTCATCCGCCTCCATGCCACTTTCATACCTTTTCACAAATCCCTTTAAGCTCGTTACTTTCTTATTCACCCCAAAAAGTGTTTATAGGTCGAGAAAGCAAAAGGGGTAATGGAATCTAAATTTCTAGAACTAGGGTTTTCCAAGAAAAAATTATGGGTGAGCAGTTGGATGACAATTACACAGAAAACTTTAGCTTTTGTATATTGACATATACATACAACAGAGATATATATATATGTGTGTGTGTGTGTGTGTATATATATAGAGAGAGAGAGAGAGAGAGAGAGAGGGCTTTTTCTTCTGCTTGATATATCACGTTCTGTGACAGAGAGGGATTCAGAAGAAGAGCGGAAAGAGCTTTTTGCAGTGCTTTCAAAAGCAAACCAAGGCCTGTGTACTTGCTCAGAACTCCCTTATCTCACTCCTGTAAAGAAAAAATAATAAAACATTATCATAACCACATAAAAATCATCCCAACAAAAACAAACAAATAAATGAAGCAAAGTTGCTTTCTTCAAAGAAAAAATCATCAGATGAAAACCCTTCTACATGCTAACACTAATTTAAGTCGAAAGAGAGAGTTCTAGACTAAGTCAAATGCGGTGTACGTCGAGTTTCTGGAAAAGATCTATTTGTTTTGAGTCATCGAGTAGAATTAGGAACAAGCCAAAATGGATTGACAAAAAAGACTTCAAATTTACCCAGAACAAGGACTGTTTTGTCGTGGAAGAAGGTAGTGAATGAAAAGTCATAAATAATCTTACGGAGACTGTATAATTGAAGCTTCAATGACTCAATAAATTGCATACATCCATAGCAATACATAGAAAGAAAGATCAAATCTTATATTTTAATTTAATAGTTATAATTAATCTGTATTTGTGTTATCTCTTCAAAAACAGATGCAGTAAAACGACCGAGTACAAATTCAGATGTTTTGGATGGATCTGTGTCAAAAAAAAGAAAAAAAAACTCTCAAGAACCTTTAAGCTGTACACAGTTCAGCTCCTGCAGATCGTAGAAACAACCCGTAATCTTGACCGTATTTGGATACTCTCAATCTTGACCAGTACATGGATTAGAAAGGAACAGGAAGAAGAGATTATCTGCAGGCAATGCAGACTTCGAAGTTTGTTAATGGGTTTACCCGAATTTCCAGCAGACTTGCTTCCTTATCTCCCTACTTTCCAAACTCCAAAGCAACTGAAAATATGCTCATGCCAGTCCTTTCTTTTACTTTTCTTGCTAGACCTACGTACAGACCAAACTCCGGAGCAACAAGAAAATCTCAAAAACTGCCGGGAGGACACAAAATTTACCAGAATTTTGTGGTAAATTTAGTGTTGAAAAAAATGGAAGTGAAATGAGATTAGGGTTCTTTATTTTGCTTTCTTCTAATTCAGATTTTTGGAGAATTGAAATTTGTGTTTTGGGTGTTTGAAATTAAGAGGGGTTTGAAGGGTCAGATGATAATTCAAAATTATGAGGTTTGGGTAAATTACATCGGAGATTATCACCGAGAAAGGACAGACACAGCGCCGTTCCTTCCTCTCCATTTTATACACGTCCAACTTTCTCTAACTTGGCCACATAGAATCGAGAAGAGGATCCAGACCCACCCAACTAGTTAAGTTGAACCAGATAGTTTGGTTTGGTTTGATTTGATTTGACACTTGAATGAAAATACCCCACCTCGTTTTTACTTTGTCAAATATAAATTATTTTTTATATAAAATTTACTTTCTAAAAAGTAAAAGCTTGTTTGAGCCCCTTTTATGTTGAAGAATGCATTTTAGAAAATTACATTAATAAAGTATTCGTAATTAAAAAATAGAAAAATGTAAATTCGCACGGAATATTAGTTTATTGAAAAATGTGTGATTAAAAGGAAAATAGAAAAATGTATTTTAAACATCAAATTTTCTCTATTTTAAAGAGTTAAACTCTTAAAAATTAAACTTCAAAAGACTATTTACATTAACATTTTAATTTAGAACTCATTCTCTAAAGTTAAATACATTCAAAGTATTTCATTTTTCAATTGAGAAAAATAATATAATAATTTAGAGAAAGATGATGAAAATAAAAGATATAGAAAAATAATAAATATTTTTTTAAAGTAATAAAATTAAGTGTTAGTTATAAAAAACTCGTTAAAGTATTTAACAATTTTTGCTCTCTAAATTTTTAGATACTCTCTAAAATCTAGAATATGTTTTAAACATATTCCTAAGGTGAAAACAATGTATTCTATTAAAACTTAATTTTTAAAGTAGATCTTTCTTCACTTTTCTTAACTGAGAAATTGGCTCAAATGGTCTCAATCGTTTGTCCATTTTGTATTTGTAGTCCAAACTTTTAAAGTTTGCTTCAAATGGTCACAAACTTTTGCATTCTCGCCATCTCCTTTCCTATTTCCTTGTATCCTTCCAGAACTCAACAGGTACGGTTGTTGTGTCCATGTTGCCCACAATTCTGATATTTCATTTTCATCGCAACCTTGCTTGCTTAATGATGTCGTTTGTTCGTTTGGTTCTATCTTCCTAGCCTTTCATGGTCTCACGAACACTTTTCTTGCACGGTGTTGGAGCTAAAGAATGCCTCTTATTTACGTAGTGCATTGGTAGCTTGTAACCGAGTCACCCTCGATCATAACCTAAATCATATAGATGGACCATAAATTCATATTTTTCTCAGCCAACAAAAACCAAAATTAGATTCTTTATCGGCATTAACTCCAATATACAATAGAACCCTAGAAAAATCAACCAACGAAAACATCGCACCATAATTGAGTGCCTCTTCTTCACGTTGCAATTTACATCCCAAGTGCGTCTGCTCAAGACGAGGAGAAGAACACCCAAAAGGCGAAAATCATTGATTTGAACAAAATGTGCAATCCTACACTAAAACATAATAAAAATTATTATGACTTGCTACTAGCTTTGCCATGCGGCCGACCCAAACAAGGCCCATTACTCAACCCGAGGTGGATATTCTGCCTTGTGATGATTCCAAGGGCCGTTACTAATCCGAGGCCTACCCCAGCTAATGACTGCCCACGTGCAGGGATCCTAAATTTATTATAGAAATCATATTTGAATGATTGATGTGACCTCTATATAAAGTGTATTCGTCTCGTCTTATCAAAAGAGTGTAAGAGCATCAAATGCTCTGTAAAGCTAGAAAGTCAACGTGATGGCTAGGATTTGATGCTTTAGCCATAAGGATGAGGCCACGTGTAATTTGATATAAGGGTCACTATTTCGTTTGTAACATTATAAATACTCATACCATGTAACAATTAAAGACTGATGCAACTTTAGATACCTTGGAGCATTTGGTTTTATTCTCTTACATTCTTGTACAATCTTTAATCTGAGTTCATAGCGATTGGTTATTATTATACACTCATATCTTGGATATTCCACCAGAACTCGAAAGAAAATGTCTCATGTCGTTGAGCTTATCTCACTTCCGATTTTGGAGTGATCTCTACCGTTGATATGCCTTTACGTGTTGGATTTAGCTTGCGCATACACGAGTGGGTCCGACATCTATTGACAGCACATTTTGAGGTCAATAAAAATAACTAATCATTGAACATTAAGGATCTTTTACCTTCAAAAGTTGTCGATAAGGAGTAAGTTTTGTTTTGTTGGTTTTTGCGTGTATTAAGTACAAATACTAATGATTTATTTTTAGGTGAGTAGACAGTTCTCCCCTTACTGCGATTGTGAAAATTTAAGCAACGAGCTCTTTAACAGTTCAGCAGCTTTTTGCCAACTTTTGTCTTTCATATTAGAAGGGTAAATTATGCCCCAACTTTTGGGATCATTTGCATTTTCGTTCCCAAGTAATTTTTCTGAACTAGAGGTCCATAATCAATGAATAATAACCTTTTAGCAAAGATACAAAGAGTTGTGGCTCTTGGCCTTCAAATCCGACGTTGATGGAGCAATATTGGATGTTTCTTAAGATCTAATATTCGCATTCTTCGTCTTAATTATTTGGAAATTGTGAAGGGGGAAAGCAGATGAACACAATCATCTGTACATGTGTATTGTTAAGAAGACTAGAGAAGAATGTTAGTGAAAAATAGATAGAGGAAAATGAAACATGGGTTGGTTTACAAGGATATATGATGAAACATTAAACGTTATACGGATAAATTTAATCATAGGAATGAGATAATTACATAGTAATGTAAAACTTTGCAAAAAGGGGCAGTTGGTCCAAGAATGAGAGCATCCAATTCCCCCAAAGTGGCGTAAAAAAAAAAAGGCCACATGTCAAGTTGAAACTTGTCCTCCCAATTGAACTAATTACACGATAGATCAAAATGAACATGATTTGACGCATTCAAACATAGTGGTGAAAAATTAGCCATTAAAAGACGATTCTAAATTTACTAGGACGAGGATAAACTTTTTGGTATTGTAAGAAATATGATTTTGGTTTACTTTTTTTATGATTTTAAAATTAAGTAGAGGGTACAAAAAAAAAAAAAAAAATACTTTAATGAATAGCAAAATAATCTAAACTTGTTAGTACAAGTAATAATGTGCCTCTTTACTTCCGGCCATTTCCTTTCTTTTTAATAATATAAAAATAAGTGATTATGGGGGATAGCAAATGATGGGCCACTTGC